GGTATTCGTGGCTACTAGAAGAGAGGTGACGTCAAGTGAAAATTTAAAAACAAAAACAAAGTCGCATTTTGACAAAGACAATCGAGTCGTATATTACGTCTGAGAATACTACTTGATCCCACTGTCAGTGTTTGTTTACATGTTCACTAAGTCACCAAGGAGTGTTGTCATTCCTTTATATCACCGTCTAGTTAGGTGGTGAGGTTCATTTTAATCTAGTCGTCTGAAGAGAAGGGGGGAAGCTAGTGTCACGACTTGCTCTTTGTTGTTCCTTGATATTTTCATTAACTAACGAAAATATCAAGGAACATCAAACAACAAGACGTGACACTAGTATACCCTTTGATGAGATGCTATTTTGTTTCTAATTATATAGTTATTTTAATCTTCAATTAGTACGTCATGAATATAGGAAGTTTTAGGTGTTCCATAGAGACAAATTAATCCCTTGAGTACTATGACTTAACCCTCTGAGTACAATGTTATCGTACTCAACTGGTCATCGTATTCATAAGGTCAAGGCATCGTACTATATGGGTTAAATCGTACTCATGGGATGAAGATATCTTCCTCAGAGGGCAGAACTTGTTTAGACTCCTGCACTGTAAACAACAAATGGAAAACATCAAGAAAATATTCATGTAATCAAAACACAAATTTGTTATTCACTAAAGAAACTAATTTATTTTGGTTTGTTTAGTTTATTATTTTTTGTTTTGTTATTTTGCGATATATTCTTCCTTAAAAAAATAAAGGTCACAACTAACACAAAGGAACATGTAAAATAACGTTGTTTTTGCGAAGGTGTATGTGTATGTGTGTGTGTTTATGTTTGTGTGTTCATGTGTGTGGGGCGAGGGCAGTCATAAGCCATGAGAACCAGAGCCAGCAACATGATACAACCACGGGGGTGTTTTTTTACCCCGGCAATATTACACGCTCGCCTTCGTGACTAAAACCAACGCGTGTCTCTTGCCTTTAGTGTTGAAACAAACCGCGGGAAAAGTGTATCCGACCCCCCCTCCCCCTCCTCCCCCTCCTCCCCTCTTCTTAATGTAATAAAAAACGTGTCTGAGAATTAGTCATCAGCATTTGCGGTGTGTGTTTAGCGTGAGGTGTGAGTCGGGGATGCAGTGGATAGCGTGTGGAATAAAACGGATTGTGGGTGTTTTGGTGTATTACGTTCTTTCAGTTTAGTCAGTTAGTAAAGGTGTTAATGTATCTGTTTAAGAGTAGATGGAGAGGGTTATTGTAGTGAGATGGATGTGTGATGGGAGGGGAAAGGATGGGGTATGTGTGATGGAAAGGGGAAGGGAGGGGGTGTTTGTGTGATGGGGAGGGGGAAGGATGAGGTGCGTTTGTGTGATGGAGGGGGAAAGGAGGAGGGGTATGTTTGTGTGATGGGAAAGGATGGGTTGTGGTATTGTGATGATATCATTGTAGTGGTGATGAGATTATGGTAGTGTGGTTGTGTTGTGGTAGTTGTGGTTGTGTTGTGGTAGTTGTGGTTGTGTTGTGGTAGTTGTAGTTGTGTTGTGGTAGTTGTGGTTGTGTTGTGGTAGTTGTGGTTGTGTTGTGGTAGTTGTGGTTGTGTTGTGGTAGTTGTGGTTGTGTTGTGGTAGTTGTGGTTGTGTTGTGGTAGTTGTGGTTGTGTTGTGGTAGTTGTGGTTGTGTTGTGGTAGCTGTAGTTGTGTTGTGTTGTGGTGTTGTGTGCTGTGTTGTGGTAGTTGTAGTTGTGGTTTGTGTTGTGGTAGTTGTGGTTGTGGTTGTGGTGAGTTGTGTGTTGTGTGTGGTAGTTGTAGTTGTGTTGTGGTAGTTGTGGTTGTGTTGTGGTAGTTGTGGTTGTGTTTGTGGTAGTTGTGGTTGTGTTGTGTGGTTGTTGTGGTTGTGTTGTGGGTAGTTGTAGTGTGTGTTGTGTGTGTGGTAGTTGTGGTTGTGTTGTTGCAGTTGTGTTGTGGTAGTTGTGGTTGTGTTTGGTAGTTGTGGTTGTGTTGTGGTAGTTGTGTTGTGGTAGTTGTGTTGTGTTGTGTAGTTTGTAGTTGTGTCAGTTGTAGTTGTGGTAGTTGTGGTTGTGTTGTGGTAGTTGTGTGGTAGTTGTGTTGTGTTTTGGTAGTTGTGGTTGTGTTGTGGTAGTTGTAGTAGTTGTAGTTGTGTTGTGGTAGTTGTGGTTTGTGTTGTGGTAGTTGTGGTTGTTGTGGTAGTTGTGGTTGTGGTTGTGGTAGTTAGGTTGTGTTGTGGTAGTTGTGGTTGTGTTGTGTAGTTGTGGTTGTGTTGTGGCAGTTAGTTGGTTGTGTTGTGTAGTGGTTGTGTAGTTGTGTTGTGGTAGTTGTGTTGTGTTGGTAGTTGTGGTTGTGTTGTGGTGGTTATAGTTGTGGTGTTGTGTTGTGTGTAGTTGTGGTTGTGTTGTGGTGGTAGTTGTGGTTGTGTTGTGTTGTAGTTGTGGTTGTGTTATTGTGCTTGTGGGTAGTTGTGGTTGTGTTGTGGTAGTTGTGGTTGTGTTGTGGTAGTTGTAGTTGTTGTGTGTTGGTGTGTTTGGTGGTTGTGGTTGTGTTGTGGTAGTTGTGGTTGTGTTGTGGTAGTTGTGGTTGGTGTTTTGGTAGTTGTGGTTGTGTTTTGGTAGTTGTGGTTGTGTTGTGGTAGTTGTGGTTGTGTTGTTGTAGTTGTGTTTTGGTAGTTGTGGTTGTGTTGTGGTAGTTGTGGTTGTGTTGTTGTAGTTGTGTTTTGGTAGTTGTGGTTGTGTTGTGGTAGTTGGTGGCCACGTGTGTACCATCAGGCGGTAGCTATCATGGCCGTCTACCAGATCAGTTCACTGTTACAAAACCCGGCACCATTTATCATCCTGAGCACCTCGCCCGTCAGCCGCCTCCTGACGTCACCTCCAACTATCAGTCGCGCTTGCTGACCATCAATCGTGCTTGCTGACCATCAATCGTGCTTGCTGACCATCAATAGTGCTTGCTGACGCCATTACCACCTAAATCCAAGATTTCGTATTTCCATTCATACTCCGGCGTTAACTACGATCGTCATCCACGTTGAACTGTCAGTCGTAGTTTGTTGATGTTGCCTCCGTCAGCCGTGGTAGCCAGCAGGCGTAGTAAGCACGTCACGGTGGTGTTTCCGCGTCCTGCGTAAACCCAAGCTTTGTGAGGCTTCGCTGACCTGCGGATTATTTACAAAGCTGAGTATTACCTGAATCTAGACTCCCCCTCTAGTGAGTCTTTGAGTCTTCCCAAATATACTGTACTGTAAGTCTTTACCTTCTTATGTGTCTTTCTTTCTCCTTCTTTAACAGAAAAAGAAAGAAACAAAATTAAGGAAAAATAGAAGAAAATTTGACCACTCGATTGCAAAACGTAATTACGAGGACAACTGTTGTATATTCTTGATGTGTATGTCACCGATCTCAACTCTATTCGGCGTTTGATTGATTGTAACCAAACTTGGCAGGTGCAGTACTCTCTCAGGGCTCCCGGGGGCGTGACCTACCAGGGTCCACGTTCCCAGAAATCCGTTACTAGACACAAGAATTCCAGTGGTATTCCCTCAGTCTCAGCACTTGTAGAAACCAAAATAGTGTATATATATGCATATTTTCCAGAGACAGGCGCAAGTATGTAATAATAATAATAATAATTAATGGTATATTGAGAAATACAGCAGCCAAATGGTGTGTGTGTGTGTGTGTGTGTGTGTGTGTGTGTGTGTATTTTTGAGAAATTGAGATAATGGTATGGGAGTGTAGGTGAAAATGTGGGCGTGAAGGGGGTAAGTTATATTGGTGTTGGTATTATTAGGTGGGTGGAAATAAGGGCGTGAGCGTGTTGGGAAGCACTGTGTGGGGGTAGTGTTGTGGGTGGGTGTGTTGGTGGTGGCAGTGTAGGTGTGAGGGTGGTGTTGTGGTCATGAGTGTAGCCGGGTGTGGTGACGGTGTGGGCGTGAGGGTAGTGATGTGGCCGGGTGTGGTGACGGTGTGGGCGTGAGGGTAGTGATGTGGCCGGGTGTGGTGACGGTGTGGGCGTGAGGGTAGTGATGTGGCCGGGTGTGGTGACGGTGTGGGCGTGAGGGTGGTGGTATGGCCGGGTGTGGTGACGGCGTGGGCGTGAGGGTAGTGATGTGGCCGGCTTTGGTTTCGGCGTGAGCGTGAAGGTGGTGGTAGGGCCGGGTGTGGTAACGGTGTGGGCGTGAAGTTGGTGGTATGGCAGGGTGTGATGACGGTGTCGGCGTGAGGGTGGTGGAATGGCCGGATGTGGTGACGGTGTGGGCGTGATGGTGGTGTAGCCGGGTGTGGGCGTGAGGTGGGCAGGGAGACAGATCGTGAGCCACAGCGGGCGGGCAGTGAGCCCTCACCTCGCTGCAGAAAGGTGAACACCCTGATAAACCTGCACACATTAGCTTCACCCCAGCGGAGACCTCCCTCACCCCGCGTCCTTCACCCCCTCCTCACCATCCTAGTAAGACCTCCTTCGTCACAAGAAACTACTCCTAAGAGGCAGGAAACAAGGAAAGAATCGGTACCGTAGCGAGCTAAAACTGTCTGGATTGTTCAGAAATTAAAAATATCAGCAAGCAACTGGCGGTTAAGAGCGTCGCCCAATGTTGAGTTCAGAAGAGCTGTTCGTCTTTGTCCTGGTTTCTTTCTTATTGATTTAATTTTCTTTCAATTAAGATAAATAAATAAGTGACTCAACAGGTGTTTCAAACTGACACTGTAATTTGTCTTGCATTCCAGCATTACTTCACTTTTAATTACATATAAAATCGTAAGTGGAACCATTTCCATTTCACTTCTGTCAAATTGTCGTGTGAATAGATTAATCCACATAGAGATACTTACAGCTTCTAAGATGAGAACACAGTGGCCCAGTGAATTCCCTTGTAACTAAATTTCACAATGACTTTGACAGAAACGAAAAAAGTTAATAGAAATCGTAAAAATAGTGTCGGTAAATAGGGTAGCCCGCACCTTGAGGCAGCCGGGAGTGTAGCCGCGAGCTGTCCTGCTGGTGGCTGGCTGGCGGCCGGCAACTGAGCTCGTCGGCAGTTCGTTCTCAGCTCTCGTAAAGTGTGGTTGCGGACTCTGCTGCTCCTGGAGGGTTACGTCGCGTTATTGAGGTTGTAAAGGTTTCTCGTGAAAACCTATACCATCCATCCCAAGCATCGCCACCTCAGAGAAACTCATACCTGACCGCGTTACTACCTGAGTGTTATTGAAAGTGTGGTCAAAGTTGAAGGTAAGTTTAATATATAAAATTTATTTTTTCTGATGATAATCTGCGACTCCGTGAGTGAGTATTGAACTAGTGAGATTATTTACTACATAGAAATCCACAATTGTAAACATAAATATATAAATTATTTTTTGATGGTCATAAATAGATGCTTATCGTAAGAACCACAATAAAAGGGTAAAATAAATCAGTCACTTCACCCACTTAGGTTTCACCTGTCATATACACCTGTCAGGACACACCACCATCCCACACCTTTCACGACACACCACCCCACACCTTTCACGACACACCACCCCACGCCTGTCACGACACACCACCCCACACCTGTCACGACACACCATCTCACACTGTCACGAAACTCCACCCCACACTGTCACGAAACTCCACCCCACACCTGTCACAACACCACGCCACACCTGTTACAACACCACCCCACACCTCTCATGTCACCTTCCCACACCTGTCACACCAACCCACACCTGTCACACCAACCCACACCTGTCACACCAACTCACACCTCTCATGACCACCACCCCACACCTCTCATGTCACACCTTCCCACACCTGTCACACCAACCCACACCTGTCACACCAACCCACACCTCCACTCACCACCCCATACTGTCACAACACCACCCCACACCTCTCATGACACACCACCCCACACCTCTCATGTCACCTTCCCACACCTGTCACACCAACCCACACCTGTCACACCACCCCACACCTCATGACACACCACCCCACACCTCTCATGTCACACCTTCCCACACCTGTCACACCTTCCCACACCTGTCACACCAACCCACACCTGTCACACCAACTCACACCTCTCATGACTCACCACCCCACACTGTCACAACACCCCACACCTCTCATGACACACCACCCCACACTGTCACAACACCATCCCACACCTCTCATGACACACCACCCCACACATGACACACCACCCACACCTCTCATGACACACCACCCCACACCTCTCATGACACATATGACGTAAAACAAGAAAATTGCCGTGACAGCCATCCTTCCTGGGAGTTGAGGAAAACCTTTCAGGATATGAGCGTCAACGTTACTCAACACAATATGTTTTTATGTCGTACATTTTATTCATTTCTCCATTTTATTTATACTTTGTAACTTACTGTAACTGTGTGTGTGCGTGCGTGCGTGCGTGTGTGTGTTGTTTTACCATGAAGAAACCTGGTCATATGTGGGAGTGTTTTTAACCAGAGTGTCTTAATAATGTGTGGGAGTTTACTAGAGAATGTTATCATAATCCGGAAAAGGAAAGAGGGTATTGTAATCGTCTTCTGTGTGTGTGTGTGTGTGTGTGTTTGCGTGCGTGTGTATACCTACGTTGGTGAGGGCATAAAAGACATACCCATGACCGTAATAACAAACAACAATATAAATACAAATATTTGGTTACATTTCCTTCTTTCTCTTAAAGTTCATCCATGTACGGCATACCCCCCCCCCTCCCCCTCCCCGTCCTCCTCTCTCTCTCTCTCTGGGGAAATTATCACTTTCACCTGTGTTTGTTTCAGGTGTTGAGGAAAGTGGTGACGGCGGAGATGCTAGTGGTGGTAGTGGTGTAGATGGTATTACTGGTGCAGCTGATTACAGTGATGTTAGTGGTGGTGATATCAGTGATGGTAGTGGTAATATTAGAGGCGGTAGTGGTGGTGACAATACTGTTAGTGGTACAAGTGGTAGTGGTGATAGGGGTGGTGCAGGTGGTGGCGGCCTCAGTGTACCAGCTGTGATGGACGACCACATACTTTATATAATACTTAATGCTGGCGATGGAACCTCTGATTTAAGAGTCGATCTTAAAACGCGGCCGCTGAATACCTTGCCAAGAGTAGAGAGTTACTGCCCACGAGCTTGTCACAGTCCTGGCTATGTGCATTTGGCCTTTTTTTTTAACTGTTTGGCCTTTTTTCTGTTCGGGCTTGATTATCTTCCTTCACAAATCCTTTCTTTTTCTTCCCCTTTTCCTTTGTTCCCGTGTCTTCGTCTTCTTTGTCCTCTCTTGTTCCTTATCTTTCTTCCACCATCTCTTCTATTTTATCTTCTCTGCTTTACTTCTCCATGAGTACTCTATAATTATCCTTTCTTTTTGTAATTTTTCCTTTTGTTTATATTCGTATCAAGTGCTTCCTTCCCTTCTTTACTCCTCTTGGACTGAGCCTCACCCGTAATAATAATGATGATGATGATGATGATGATGATGATGATGATGATGATGATGATGATAAACACTCTAATATCAACAGGAACACCCTATAGTATCCAAAAGACAATGCATTTTATGATTATACCTTAATAACAATGACTAGCTCAAGTTTCCCACGTACAAAGAATAGACACATAAATATTTAGGGTAGTCTGTGGTCAATTAGGACAGGGGCCCATGTGAACCAGTTGAGTCAGCAAGCCTTCTTAGACCCCAAGAGCCTCGCATTAACACATCCGTCTACTGCTTGAGGAGTTACTTGTGGCTGCGGTTCTCTCGGGGGATTCGATACAGTTCTCGAGATCCTGGGTTCGAATCCTTGTAACCTAATTCTTGTTGTTTAATCCTTGCCACCTAATCCTTGCCACCTAATCCATGCCACCTAATCTTTGCTACCTAATCCATGCCACCTAATCCTTGCTACCTAATTAAGAAACGAATATTTGATACAGATAAATCGTCAACTCTGGTCAAAGTTTCTTGCATTACAGTTCATATCTCACTGGTTGAATGAAACGCGTATCTAAATGGCTTCCTCAATGGTTACAAAATGTCGTCGATAGAGACTCGCCCATAGCGTGATAGTGTATACTGATCTCTGAGAAACGGGAGACACTGTTGTAAGATATAGGGCAATCAGGAGTGAGGAGATAAGATCACCATCCAACTGTATAGATAACCTGGGGGTGAGGGGGAGACTACTGGGGAGGAAGATGAGAAGAGAGTGAGAGAGGAGACGAGTAAGAGGAAGAAGAGACAAGGAAGTGGAGGGGGAGACGAGGAGGAGAAGGAAGATGGCCGGGAGACGAAGATAAGACACACAGACACGAGGAAGAAGAGACAGGGAGGGAGGCACTAACAATAAACTATGGGGATATTGGAACTCCGCCAGTACGAGTGCCACCACCACTGCCACGCTGCCGGGACCATGGGACCACATTTCCACCCACCCCATATCCACCTCTCCCTCTTCCCCCTTCTCTATCCACCAATCTCCCTTCCCCCTCTTCCTTTCCTACTTTCCTTTTCTCTCTATCCCCCTTCTCTCCCTTCCTACCTTCCTGGTCCCCTTTCTAATTATCCATTATTCCACTTAAATTTTCCACTTAACTGTATGTGTCAGAACGTATCTAAGTTTCTGTGTGTGTGTGTGTGTGTGTGTGTGTGTGTGTGTGTGTGTGTGTGTGTCTGTGTGTGTGTGTGTTGGAGAGATGTGTATGGTCCCAAATCATTTGATTTTTTTAATGAATAGACACATTTTTACACAAATATTAATATATATATTAAAAAAAAAGAACACTATCTGCTATCTTTGATCCCTTGATGTTATGAAAATCTTGGGAAAACGACAATAATACTGGAGTGACCAAGAAGGAACTCACCTGAAGATTAAACACCCTAGTATTTTCACCTTACCTGGGGAGTCAGGTTAGATGGTGACAACAGGGAGTTATTTGTGCATAACGGTGGTAGTGTGACCAGGTGAAGGAGCCCTCAACTCTGCTATCAGGTGTTGTATGATAACCAAACTGGGGGGTAAACAGTGCCTTATCTGAGTTAGTTTTACCTGAAGGATAACTGTGGATTAGATATGGTTAGGTTAGTTTGTCGTGCGTTATCTCTCTCTCTCTAAATATAGGCAAACACTCCGGATACATTAACGTACAATAACAATGACCAGTACTGCATTAAGGTCTAGTCCGGATATGGAAATATTTCGGTTGAGTTAATATCATTCTATTGTTTAATATATATTGTTATACTAATTTCACCTTTATAACAAAACACAATAAGCACTAGTTGTTATTGTCTGTTATCTTGGTTATTATTCTAAGCGACTACATATTTTATCTTTATATAATCGTGGACGGTCCCTCGCCCTCATAAAAGTTAGATAAAGTTTATGAGTTTTAGGCTAAAAAAGGCCTTAGCGTCATGAGTCATTACGGTGGTTGTGTATCATCCAGCACAGGTACGAATTATCTCTCAGCGAACATGTGGCAATGAGAACCTGTTGCCATCTCGTTGGGTTTTGTTATTCTCCCTGACAACATATAAGAAAATACACACCATGATGTGCAGTGTTGGGGTAAGTTATTGATCTTTCATACACAAGTCGCATTTTTAAACGAGTTATCGATGACAGTTATGTTTTTTGTTATACTCTAAACATTAAAGACTACACTCAGAGGTTGTCCGAACGCTATTGTGTTCGTGTATACAAACAATACTTTAAGCTATTATTTACTCAAGCGAAAGTGCGTCCCATAGACATAAACCATATGTGGTAGTGTGAATACATCATACTAACAAATTAAGTCTTCGGACACTTGCATTCACCCGCCTTTCAATTCTGAATTTTTTTTAATTAGGAACACATTCTGCAGCTGGGTCGACTGGGGGCGCCTCATCCATTGATGACCGTTGGGTTGGAAGTTGAGTTTTATTTCCACTCCTCACCCCTACCAAATGGTCATCACCATAAAGAAAGAAAGGGTTAAAGTTAATAACCGTGTAAATTATTTTCTCCAGAAAGTTATTATTCACAAGTGGTCAAGTTATTACCAAGTAACTGCTTAGTTATCGTCTGCCAGCGGTCAAGAAGTGGGCGAGGTTTCGTTTACATTCGGTTAAGTATCGTTCTCAAGGGAGTGAGATAGTGTGGACAATCGCTTAGGAATTCTAGAATGTAAGAATATAAATCCCCTTAGCTTTCGTCTTTAAGTATTTTGTGTGTGTGTGTAGTGTTGAC